TTCATTTTATTTTTCTTCTTCAAGATGGTCTTGAAGACCAAGACCAAGGTGGCTATTCTTGGTCTTTCCATTTCCATACTAATTTTTGGAAAAGCTCATCAATTTCTGTAGGAAAACTTGTTAGGACTTTGATTTTGGTTGCACTGAATCTGTAGTTCAAATTGAGGTGAATTATTTGGAGTGATTCTTGAACAATATGAGGATCAAGGACACTGACCCCTATGCAATTGAAAATCCATATGTAACTTTTGATACCCCCCAAAATTTACTACTAATGGGTACTAGTGACTGGAAGCTTTACTGATGACATAAACAGTTGATTAACACATATTTTGTAAAGTGTATGTATTATGTACTGTATTCTTAAAATTAAGTAATCTAAAGAAAGGAAATGTTAAGAAAATCATAAGGAAATGAAAATACATTTATAGTACTGTGTGTATATTTGTTGGAAAAAACTCATGTATAAATGAACCCACACAGTTCAAATTCATGTTGTTTGATAGCCATCTGTATATGTATGTTGTGATGCAATATTTACATTAACATAAATATGTAAGTATATATTATATAAACATTACATGATATAATAGTATTTATAGTTTATATGTAAGTATATATACTTATTGTACCTAAGTATATGTATCTCAGTACAATATACTTATATATATTATATAAATATTATAATGTAGTAAAACTATGCCTTTTTCCTTTATACTTTTATATTTATTTTGTCTAGGCTTCTGTCCCTCTAGTTCTTAATTTTTTTCCTTTTCATTAGATCCTTCCCTAACACTCTCTCCCCACTCCTCTCATTTGCCATATGTTTATGAGATACTTCTTAGACATCCTGGATCAGGCATGGTACTGGAATCTTACCTCTTGCTCCTCTTTTGCTCCAGGGTTGTAGCCATTAGTATTTGCTAAAAAGTGGACAGTCAAATGAGGAACTAAGTATCAGCTTTATCTAAGGCTTTCTGGTAATGAGTCTAAACTGGAAACTATTGTGGAACTCTTTCTTACCTGCATCTCAAATTGAAGGCAGCATGTATGAGATGCTTCATTCTTTTTTTTTTTTTTCTTTGAGATGCTTCATTCTAAGCAGACTGTGATTAGGTGGGAATATGCATGGAAACTTGGGGCTTAGAGCCTCCAGAAAGGCAGATTTGGGCAAGTGAGATAGCTTATAGTCATTTAGTTGCAACTCTGTAGAAGTAGTCTCCAAATTGCTTAGACTACACAGCCTTATCAATTAAAATATGTGAACATCTATCACCAATGTTTGTATATTTATTTATACATTACATTAAAGTACTGTAATTTATTATATAAATTCTACAATATATAAAAAATTTAAAATGATAAGCAGTATTTCTAAAAATGATTTCCATGTTTATCAGTGGTACAGAATTCAGTAAGCAGGGTTTTAATATTAATTTAATTTGAAAGGCAGGGTTTTAATATTAGTGATGTAGTGATTTGAAGGTCTCATTCTAAGGCAAATTTGTTATTTCAGTATAAGGGTTTTAATGCTATTGTATTTGAAAAAGATACTTTCAAAGATTTGAAATTTCAAATGGAATAGGTGCATCTTGGTTGTACTTGGTAAATGACATTATTCATTTTTAATTTCTCTTCTACTTTGCAAAGTTTTTAGTCCAGATTTTATCAGTAAAATATTATCTTTTCTGAGTAATAGTTCTGGCAAAGTATTGGAAAGCATTACATTTCTTTATATTAAAAACGAAAAATGGTTTCCTAACCTGCTGAAACCCTTCTTTTGTGAGATTTTTAAAACAAAGTAGGAAATGGTTTCTAAGTTTTTAAAGTGTGATATCATGAGTATGTAGTGTGATCAGCACATTTGCACACACATAAAATAACATTAGGTAAAAATATTTGCAATAGTTTTCAAAATGTTCTTAACATGAGTTCATATAAAAGAGTTATTTTCCCACTCACTAAAATGTCACTACCTTACTCCGAAAAGACAGATTAAGAACTATACATTTAAAAATATTTTCTAGTTTACATACTGCTATTTGTCATCACAGTTTAGCAAATTTGGAGCATTTATCTTTTTTTTGTAAGATCAAAGTACATGGTATATCTTTGCCAACTTAAAAAAAATTTTATTTAAGATTTTATTTATTTATGATAGACATAGAGAGAGAGAGAGGCAGAGACACAGGCAGAGGGAGAGGTAGGCTCCATGCCAGGAGCCCGACACGGGACTCGATCCTGGAGCTCCAGGACTGTGCCCTGGGCCAAAGGCAGGCGCCAAACCACTGAGCCACCCAGGGATCCCCTGTTTGCCAACTTTAATAATATTTTGCCATGACATTTTTTATGCTCAGTCCTTATCTATTTGTAAAGTACGCTGAGTATGGTATTTAAGATAATGTGGATTGGTCAGTCCATTTACCTGGCAAATGCGATGTCCAGAACTTATGAAGGCAGTGATATAACCTCTCTGAGCATAAAATTCAGTTATCCTTGGAATATTTGTCTACTGCTTACAGTTAGTTGTATGTACTTTATTATTTGTTAAAGAAAATTGTTAATATCAATTCTATTCTAATATTTTCTTCTACTACTCTAGAGATGATCCCTGGGCCTTGCTGTGAGTGTCCTTGTTCCATGGGGACAGAAACACAGATGGTGAAAAAGAGTCTTTGCTCCCAAGTTAGGCAGAGAAAAGATGATTTAGGAAATATTTAAAATATATATATATACATATATATTAGTCCCGCATCAGATTCCCTGCATGGAGCCTGCTTCTCCCTCTGCCTGTGTCTCTGCCTTTCTCTTTCTGTGTCTCTCATGAATAAATAAATAAAATCTTTAAAAAATATTTTTTTTCAGAGTTAATAAATCCAGAAACTTGTAGTTTTGCACAATGAATGGGAAGGTCTGACCAATCAAATAAGTTATTCCTTTTCCCATGTAGGAAATCTGGGTAGGGTAAAGAAAAAGGAAAAATAAAATTATCTTTTTTTCAGTAATCGTTTTTCTTTTATTTTTTTTTTAAAGATTTTATTTATTTATTCATGAGAGATACAGAGAGAGAGAAACAGAGACACAGGCAGAGGGACAAGCAGGCTCCATGCAGGGAGCCCTTTGTAGGACTTGATCCCGGGTCTCCAGGATCACTCCCTGGGCCGAAGGCAGGCACTAAACCGCTGGAGCCACTCAGGGATCCCCAGCAATCGTTTTTCTTATAGAGAAACTGTAAGTGGGTTTTTTTTTTCCACCTCTCTATCTTCAACACCAGACTGAACTTCTTAAGGGCAAGAACACTTCAAGATGGAACCAGCACAATGCTAGGCATACAGTTGTGCCAGCATGTTAGTAAATGTTAATTAATGTGAAGACACAGAGGTTTCTGCTAGCACTAGGAAGGAGGAATATACTGGGAAAAGTTAAGCGTGTAGGCTAGTGAGTTTTCAAATAAAACTGGAATGGAGGAGAGTAGGTTAAAAAAAAGGTGAATGGGGAAGAATTACAGAATAATGTAAGTGAATATCCAGACCTTTAAAAGAAGTGCCACAAGGGACTTTTATTCAAAGTGGGGCCAAAAGTGACAGAAATGAAAGGCATAGTAGAATTAACAGAAATAAAAATTCTCTGCAGGTTCAGAAATTCTGCGTGGTACAAGTAGGCCTTATGAGATTAGTCTTTAGAACTTGTGTTCAAGATTCTAATAGAATTTAGGCAGAGTTGTTTTGCTTATGTTGCTGCCACTGAGAACTCTGCTCAGATAAGGAAGGAAAAGTAAAAAGGTAATGATGTGAGGGGGGAGGCAGTATTTTTTGCCACATAGTCAAGAGTAAATTGAACATGAGTGTTCTAAAGGATTTTTCCCCAATTATTTTATATTTATTAAAATGCACAGAGCAAACTTCCATAATAAGGTTATAACATCAACAAGCTTGAGGGTGCACACTGAATACGCATATGATTACCACATTTGATGTTTTAGTGATGATATAGTAATTGTCACTCAGTTACCTTAAACTACAAATTATACAAATATATAAAAATCATATATATAAAACCCATTAGGCCAGTCAGATGCAGCAACAGCAAAATGACCCAAGATACATACAACAGATTTCTTCAGTACAGATAAAGTGTTTGTTACATACTTTGAAGCAATAATTTCAGCATAACTAAAGATGTATTTTATATGTCAAAAATAGAACAGTTGGTTCTTGAGGAGACCCAAAACAACAGATTTCTGGAAAGCTAATGTTTATAGGTAAAGCTATGTTGATTCAAGTTAGCAAAGGTTGGGGATAAATAACAATTCTTCTTTTCAAGTTGGATTTGTAATAGCTTTTTCCCTATTGCCCTTGCCTCTGTCTTCCACCTTCCTTTTTTCTCTTTACTTTTTCTCTTACTAAAAATGTCTTGTAATTTTTAAAAGCTAACCATCATGTGTAGTGACCAGAGCCCTTAAGAACAAAGATACCAACTCACAAATAGCAGTTAGTGAAGTTGCTCTGAGGAAATCACACAACTAAAAACTGACCACCATTTATCCCTTGCCCCATTGCCATGTACCTACTATCCCAAATTATTCAGTTCCACTTCCTTCAATGGCTGATTAGCTGAATGAATCTTGGGATAACTTGCAAGCAGGATCACTGCCCATCTGTGGGATACAGTCCTTAATGTCTATATCAGATTAAGACTAAAATGGAGTAATGATGGTCATTTTTAGTTAGCAAGCAGAACTCATTATTCACAGTACCGTGTGCTTCTCTCTCCCCTTATGGTTCCCTTGATGATTTTATATTTATTTGTTTCTATTTGTTTCTCTGCTAACTTATTGATAAACTTACGGAGGGTGGGGATGAGTTTTCTGGTCATATTAATATCCCACTGCCTAGAATAATTGTTACTTAGTAGATACTCCTAAAATATTTGTGGAAGTTGACTTTTATCTATTTCTTCTTTGCCTTCTAAAGTCTTATATTAATTTGTTTACATCGTAGATGCTGAGAAGAACTCTGAAAGGGACTGAAAGTAAAGAACTGGAAATAACACCTGAAGTGCCAACTTTGGTACCATTTGGGGGTGTGGTATGTGAGACTAATCCTTTGTAAATCTGTACAAATTATTTCTTTATGTGAAGACTAGTTAATATTTATTATTTGATAATCAAAAAACATGTAGAAAATGGTTCTCTCTGATAACATATTTGTGAATTTTTCATTTTTTTCATTGAGTCAGAAAAAGCATTCTAATAATCACTGAAATTATGGAAAACATCTTGATTCACAGAAAAAAAAAATTCTATACAGGGACTCCCAAACTATAGTTACATCAGAATCACTGAGAATACTTTTCAAAAACATTGATTCTTGGCTTCCACCTAAGATCTGCTAACCTGGAATCTGAGAATGCCTAAGATTAAGTATTTTTGTTGTGCTGGTGAAGTGATTGCATTTATTGTCAGATTTAGGAGCCTTTGAGCTATGATTTGAAAATTGACTCCACGTCTCATCCAGAATAACCCAGAAACAAAAGCAAAATTCTTGTGAATCATACATATACACACAAACACACAGTTGGACCTAAAATGTAGGCTGAGAATCAGAAAAATCTGTTTTTTTTTTTTTTCGTATGTGTGCACTATAGAACATAAGATACATTTAGAACTATCAAATGTTTTGGTATTCTTTTACAGTTATCTTTATTCCTGAACGTCATTGGAATAGTTAATGGGTATGCAGTGAGAGAGTTTCTCTTGTCCCTCTTCTCTAGATCCTATCGTATACCATACATTTTCTTGATTAAAAAATATATGATGACTTTAACACCACGTTTTTTGGGGGGAAAAGTAAGAGTATATTAATTTTACTTTTTTTTTTTTTTTTTACAAAATGAGCACAGTGTGCATTTATCTGTATAATTATATAATACTTTCCTATAACACAATCAAAGTCACTGCCTGAATCTAAACTTAGAAAAGATTCCTTGAAATCACTTTTGGCTGTAAGCTATTCTGCATGCCATTATGTTGACATACTGAAATCCATAATCCATACTATTGAGTATGACTTCTACATTCCTTCAGAACTGATACTTTGATTTCATTCACACCTCCTGACTTCATAGTTTGCAATATCCTTAGTTGAGTTATATATTGCTAGACATTATTAACCTGCTCTTAAAAGTCACCTGGAAGTTTTTGACAGATGTTTGGCATATGATAGCTCCTCATAGCATGTGATTTGTCACATTACTTTCTGAAAGTTCTGGGATTTATTCTGAGGTATTTGGCAAGGCTTGTACATGTGTCTGCAACAATAGCTACATCACAACCCACTATTCCTCTTTCTGACAGTCAGAGCCCTTTTTTAGAAAAAATGTGAAAAAGCCTGTCTTAAAATTGGGTGCATAAAATGCTTTTGTGAACACTCTTCTGGTTGCTTTCCTGTTTTCAGTGCATATTGGGGGTGGGGTGGTTGGTGAAGGTTTGACATGGTTATTGTTTTGGGCCACAGATGGGTCTCAGAATCTGTGGCAACATTTGTTATCCATAGCCTGTGAGTGGTCATCATTATATTTGTGAGTGTTAAGTATTTTTCTATATTTAAATAGAAAATTTTCTGTTTTATTTTATATGGATCTATTATACAAAAGTATAAAGAGCTAATGAAATATAAGGAAAGTAAAGGTAGTTGCCCATGGCTTCATGTTAAAATACTTGGCAGGCAGGCAGTGATTTATGACAGAATGTTAATGTGGCGCATTATGCAATACAAAATTGTAGTTATACTTCCCTGTTTTATCCTCTTTAACTCCAATTTTAAGAAATAAAAATGATTAATAGAATCACCTATGGCAGTACTATTTAAAATCCTGCCTAGATTGTGTAATAGGCATTGGCATTACACCCCTTTGCATTTGAAAACTTAGAATTTTTTTTTAAAATTTTATTTATTCATGAGAGAGACAGAGAGAGAGAGAGACAGAGACACAGGCAGAGGGAAAAGCAAGCTGCATGCAGGGAGCCCAATGTGTCACTTGATCCAGGCAGGATCACGCCCTGAGCCCAAGGCAGACGCTTAACCGCTGAGGCCACCCAGGCATCCCCAAAACTTAGAATTTCTAACATAGCATTTCGTATCTAAGTTTCCTTGAGAAGTAGACCACAGTACTTTCTTCTTAGGATTTTATGATTCAGATAACAGTTTTTAAATTAAATACTGAATGCTAATTTCTGTTTCTGTATCATTTTAAAGCCAAGTCTTTTTTTTTTTTAAAGCGAAATCTTTAAAATTATTTACATATATTTAAAGATACTATTTGGCCATTTATTTTGTTTACAGTGTTTAATACCATATTGCTGTTGTTTTTACTTGGTTTTTAAGACGAAACATGGCTAAATATATTTGGCAGATAATGCATATCAGTATTCAAGTATTCCTGAATTCATTTTATATATTACTTTATGCATAAACACAAAGTATAATTTTATTTAACATTTAGAAATACTTTATACAAGAGAAAATGAATATTTCACAATCTTTGGCACATTGTAGTGGGTGAATGGTTGTTGAATGAATAGAGTGGCTTTAGGATACTGAATAAAAAAGCTTATCTGGAGCAAGGCATATTTCTTATTATATGTGGGATGCTACATTTTGTCGGTTCTCATCTCATAAAATAACAATGATTCAAAGAGTGATGGTTGGATTTAAGTTAATAATGCTTGCCTTCTTTTCTCTCTTTCTCTTTCTTTCATTGTATTCTTGTTCATTTTAGTTTTACTTTGAATAAATCCTGCCTATTTTTCTTAGAAAACAGTATTCCTGTTTTCTGGTGTTTTCCATTAACTAGATATTTTTAATGAGAAACTATTTTTAATGAGGAAAATCTAGCAAAGTGGAGCTTTTAAAAATATATAGTTTGGTGTAGAATAAAATGGAAGAAAAGTTAACTTAAAAACTCATTTGCTGTGTTTTTATTTTGATTGTTTTAGGTTGGCTGCCTTGCTATTCATGTAAAGAACTGCAGACATTTCACGCCTAAGAGTATCCTTTCTTTGATTTCAGAACCATACCATGATCATATATGTGTTTCAGTTATATATTGCTGCAAGACTTAGTGGTTTAAAACCTTCACCATTTTATCATCAATCATTGTGTGCATTCATTAGTGCCACTTCTGCTTCACATTAGCACAGCAGGCATTCAGTCATCTGACAGTTCAAAAGGGCTAGAATATCTAAGAGATGTCATTTACATGTCTGGTATTTTAGTGAGGATGCCTAGAAGACTAGACTTAGCTGGAAAGCTGAAATGGTTAGAAATTTCTTTCCATACAGTCCCAAGGTCTTATCTTTCCATCATATTTTTTCTGCATTTTTATTTTTAAAAAATACTACATTAAAATATTATTTATTTTGTTTACTGAAGTTTTTGGTGTCTCCTTAAATTTTGGACCATGGCTGGTGTCTCTCTCACCCTGTCCTAGACCCAGCCCTAGTCATGTCCACTGCATTAACGTATTCCCAGGGCCAGTCCAGATTCAAGAGCAGAGCAAAATAAACTCCACTTTTTGATGTGCAAATTGATGAATGTTTTTCAGCCATCTGTAATCCATCTCAATCATCATATAAAGGAAAAACATGTATCTTACCAAAAAAAGGAAAAATACATATCTTAGATGATAATACTAGTTATTTCCTTTTTTTTTATTCAAAGTAGTAATTGTGCAGTCTTAAACATTGTTTAAAGGATTTATTTATCTTGGTGCCTTTAATAAACTGATTGCTCATAATTAGATATATCATGGCATAAACCCAGTGTCGTCGTGAAGTCTTGGTATTTCTTTTTTATATAAAGTGAATTATTGAGGAAAATTTTGCATAAAGAGATTTTTGAAGATAATTAGTTAAATCATAAAGACAAAATGGTTTTAATGCATGGAGTACTATGAACAATAATTCAGTATAGTATACTGAAGTATATAGTGAAATGAGTAAGATAATGGAAAACTGCTTTAAATTTTTTTGTCTTAATGTTAAAAATAAATTACTCTCAAGTGATTTTCAAAGTTTTGCATTTCTACATAATTATGCTTAGAAAAAATTTTAACTTTTATTGCAAATATTTAGTCACCTTAAAAATAATACATAGAGGGGCTCCTAGGTGACTCAGGTTAAGCATGTGACTCTTGATTTCAGCTCAGGTCATGATCTCAGGGTCATTCACACTGGGCATGGAGCCTGCTTAAGATTCTCTATCTCCTTCTGCCCTCCCCACCCCGCTGCTTACTTGCTCCTCTCTCTTTCTCAAAAAATTATAATATATAGAAACAGTTGCAGAAGATCATAATGGAAATGTGAGGATGGTGATATGAGAAGTGATCTGAAGGATAATCAGCCTAATTTTCCTACTTATATTTTGCCTACCGTTGATGGGCAAAAATACTATTTTAAAAGTATTTTAAAAGATTACCTTCTTTATTTATTTGATTGATTTTGCCTGAATTGTTTAACGGGTAATATTATAACTTGTTACTATACAATTACAACAAAATTTGCTTCCTCAATATCTGTGTATTTTCAGTTGCTTTACAACATTACAGTAATTTGTTCATTCGCATCTCTATTAACAACATTGTGAAATGTACAAAAATGTGTAGCCTGCCATCCCAAAACAATGAAAAGAACGCTGTAATTAATTTTGATGACGTAAAGTATTTTTCTGTACAGGTAATGTTAAAGTTCTCTTCTAGATATAAGAATGCATTTTTACAGTTTCAAATAATCCATACTAATTATCTCCTTTTTGGGGGATTGGAAAGAAACAAATGCAGTACCTTTTAATTTGATTTTTACAGTATTCTGTTTCTATGCCATGGACTATATTGGTGTTTTTTTTTTTAAAATAAACAACTTACTGGCATATGTATAATCTTGATGTGATCTTCTTCCCTAAGATCTTACTATGTTTCTGAGTGTTCATCAAACATACATTTTTCTCTGTATTGCTTTTCTCCTCTTACACTCTGTCTTAGCTTGTGCTGCTGTAACAAGTTACCATAGATGGGGTGGCTTAAACAGTAGCCATTCATGTCTCACCTTTTTGGAGGCTAGGAAGTTCAGGATCAGAGTGCTGACACATCGCTGTCTAGTGAGAGCCTGCTTTCTAATTTCTTGATGGCCATCTTCTCATCATTTAGTGACATGGCAGAGAGCAAAGAGAGATCATCTTTCTTGTGTCTCTTCTTGTCGGGGGCTAATCCAGCTCATGGGGGCTCTACCCTCATGACCTAATTACCTCACCAACACCACAACTAAAAATACCATCATGTTGGGGATTTAGGCTTCAACATATGAATTTTGAGGGGATGCGATGTTCAGTCCAGAGCATACTTTCTCTTTTTTTTTTTCATTTCCCCCTCATTTCTCTCTCTTCTTTCTTCTTATATAAACTCTACTTGTTTGTGCATGGATTAACTTATTTAGTCTTTATAAGAATCACCCCCCCAATATATATTATTTTATTATAATCGTCATTTTACAGATGAGGAAACAGGTACTGTTAGGTAAAATAACTTTCTTAAGATCCTAGAACCAGTAAATGGAATGGAGTCAGTCTGGCTTCAGACTGTACTGTTCAACTTCCTCTCACATCAGAGCTTCCTGTGTTAAGAGTTTGCTTCTCTTTATAGCTAAGCTTCTTACAATCTTAAATGTATCTCAGAGTTTGCATTATTTAAAGTGAGCAGCACTATTTCATGTAGCCATAGGGATTCATTGATTAGGCCATTCATTAGTCCTAATAGTTAAATTTTAGTGACATCCTAAACATTTCCCCTGTGCTCCATATTTTTTAACCGTCAGTTTTAATCTTTAAAACTTTTTGCTGAAGTCTTGAGTATTGAAGATAGTTCTTTAAGCATAGTTTAAAAAAAGGACACAAAAAATCAGGCATAGATTTGCTAAAGGCAATCTATACTATTTGTTTTACTTTGCAAATAGTTTTCCTGAGCTTGCCAAGTTTTCAAGAATTTGTGAGTGTATATCCACTTAAGGAAAACTTGAAATTAATGCTGGAGAATAGTATAAATTAGTAAGTTGCTTATCTTTATTAGCATAATCAAAGTCTTTTTTCCTTTTTTTAAATAGCTGTTAGTTTGAGCATATTAAGAGGAGAATTTTAATGGAACTCTAATGGAAAATTTGGGAATGTTTCAGTAATAACTACATAGAAAACTGTACAAGGAAACAAAAGCAAAACATGTTAAAGGAAAAACATGTTAAAGGAAAATTTATATATATATAAAATTTATATATATATATAAAATATACTGAAGGGATGAAAATTTATATATATATAAAATATACTGGAGGGATGAAAGGAAGAGAACTATGAAAATTGTAGGGGAGGGTGTTGAGAGCTAATATTTTTCTCTCACAATAAGCAGTTAATTGATAGTATCTAAAACTAAAATATCACTTAATATAAGCATGTTACTTAGAAACATGGTTTCAGGGCAAAAAAACCAAAGAAATCCCTTTAAAAGCTTGAAAGATAGTTTCTGAGGAGTGAAATTTTGCAAAATCATGCCCAGGATTTACTTTATAGAGGTATGACTGAATGATGACATGGAGGGGCTCATGCCATTGATAGAAGGGTGGAAAGGAAAACACTACACTACATAGAGCTTCAGGAGAAGCGTCCAGGTGGTCAGGAAACAAGACAGAAGTGTGGAGAGACCCTAGACTAAAGCCTTTACTGGGGTTTTCTTGAGAAAGCACCGCAGAACAGAAATTTTTTTTTTTTTTTTTTTATTTATGATAGTCACAGAGAGAGAGGGAGAGGCAGAGACACAGGCAGAGGGAGAAGCAGGCTCCGTGCACGGGAGCCCGACGTGGGATTCGATCCCGGGTCTTCAGGATCGCGCCCTGGGCCAAAGGCAGGCGCCAAACCGCTGCGCCACCCAGGGATCCCCAGAACAGAAATTTAAGATTGGCTAGTTTGAATAATTCTCTCAGGCTTTAGGCTGTAGGGGAGTCCCTAGTTACTTGGTTCCTGGTCCCGGGATGATTTAGGGCCAGGGAAATACTGGCTCCATGTGAGAGTTAGATAAGAAAGTGGTTAGGGCTATAATTTGGGATTGGTTTGCATATGAAAGATGTGCTTCCATCTCACTAAACCCTTTGCTATCTGTAAGAATTGACTAGCCCAGGGAGGGGAAGTCTGTCTCTGGCCAGGCTTTTTAGGATGTCAAGACATCATAAAATACAGAAAAAAGGATTAAACATGCGAGAAAAGAAAGTTGTTTTTGTTTGTTTTAACCATTATAGAACTCTTTGATTTTTTAAACTAGTATTATATAACTATGATAAAATTACACATTATATTTTGGGATACATTTTATCAATAAGTTATTTAACAGAGACTGAAAAGGATGTTGGTTGTCTTTTGATATTGGCTATTTGGGTTACCTAGATTATCTGAATTGGATATTGAATTACCTTTTATTTTTTATTTTATTTTATTTTTTTTAAAGATTTTATTTGTTCATGATAGAGAGAAGCAGAGACACAGGCAGAGGGAGAAGCAGGCTCCACGCAGGGAGCCCGACGTGGGACTCGATCCCGGGACCCCAGGATCGTGCCCTGGGCCAAAGGCAGGCGCTAAACTGCTGAGCCACCCAGGGATCCCCTGGATTACCTTTTATACTATAGTTTCAGTAGGATGTGGAAACTAAACTTTTGTGTAGAGTTAAAAAGAGAATGTTTCAAAAGACTGTAATTGATGTTATACATAAACAAGATCCTGATTTTTGCTGATGTTAGGGTATCTGTGACTATGTGATTGAAAAGTTATAAGGCTAATAATATGTGAAAGCTAACCATTTAGGTTTATTAGGGTGTATATAACAAAATATAGTTTTACACCTGTAGTGTATTTATTCAGAAATTATATCTGAAATTCAGACTGCAAATGTGATCATTCTTTTTGCATGTATTTTGTTTCAAGGTTCCCAGGCGTCAAGATGATGTGCGGAATAATATTTTCTTGGAACTAATGCAATATGACAAAATAGAAAAATACCCTCTCTTGTTAGGGAGTATTCAGGTACACCTTTATGAAGTAATTCAGGTATGTATTCAGATTATCTTTACCACCTTGCTATCACGTTATCCAGTTGTTGGTGGTGTTATTTATCTGTATCTGATAGACTCCTTTTGGTTTATTTTCTACTTTCAAACTCATATGCTTATGAAACAATGTCTTCCTCTGGTTATATATTTTTTTTAAAGTTGGCTTAGAACAGCATATTTTTAAAAATCAATTGTGTGTGGGGGGAAAATACAAATTAAAAGACTAATAAGCATGTTTTATTATGTTTTCTGGAATTTTAAAAAATATTTATTTATTCATGAGAGACACAGCGACAGAGACAGAGAGAGGCAGTGACATAGGCAGAGGAGGAAGTGGGCTCCCTACAGGAAGCCCAATGTGGGGCTTGATCCCTAGACTGCAGGATCACACCTTGAGGCGAAGGCCTACGCTCAACCGCTGAGCCACCCAGGCATCTCTCTAGAATATTTTTAAACAGGACTCAAACGATAAACTCTTGTCTCTTAGTTGACAGCCCAAATTTCAGTTCTTTTACTCTTAGCTGGGCTCCTTGCAGTCTGCCCTGTGCATGTGTTGTTTAGAGGTTAGCCAGAGTTTGGGGCAGGGTTTATACACAGATTTCATTATTCCTCCCCTCTTGCTTTCTCCTGTCTCGGATTACCCTCTCACTTCCCAGCAGCCATACTGTCCTGAGCTCAAAGGAGGAGAACTGATAGTGAACAAATATAAACAATCTGAAGGAGTATTTGTAGGATGCAAAGCAAGGAGGCCTTCAAAGACTTATGAAGTTATGTCAAAAGACAGAAGAGACAGATTGCAAGAGTCTCCTGTTGGCCAATTTCAGGATAATTTGAATATCAAAGAGATCAGTACAAATTCTGAATAAAGAAAAATCCATAAGTCCTGTTGATCTCAAAAAAGAAGAAAAGAGCCAGGGAAGAAAAATGGAATTTTGAAATTTAAAACAGAAGAATGCCACTTAGTGTAGAAAGAATGATAGAATTACAGGTTGACTATTTTTGCAGTCCTTTATAGCGAATGATGGTTGGTTCAGTCAAGACTTAGCAGTGCTACTTAAAGCATGAGATAAAAGGTTATTGGGAAACAAGAAATTTCCATGACACCACTGTAACAGTCTACACATTAATTGTTGCAGTGGGGAAAAGGTGCCTTTACAACAGAAGTTTTGGTTACCACTTTAACCAAGAGCTTGAAGTTAGCTTGAAGTTAGGTAATTGTGGATAATTTAACATCGTATGCATCCTATGTCAGTGCATGTCAGTACAATATGAAGTATACAGCATTACCTAGGAATTGTTCTCATCAAAATGTTTACCCCAAATCTAACCAAGCTGAGTCTAGATCTAACTTTCAGTTCATAGGAATTTAGGAGATAGGGAAAAAGTTAAACAATACCATGATGATATAAGAAGAATACATAATGTGGGACATACTAGCTTAGATTCTAAAAAGCTAAGGTCAGGGAGTGCCTGGATGGCTCAGTGGTTTACGTGTCTGACTTTTAATTTACCTCAGGTCATGATCTCAGGCTCATGGGATCAAGCCCCACATTGGGCTCAGCAGGAAGTCTGCTTGAGAATCCCTTCCCCCTGCTCGTGTACTTGTTCTCTCTCTTTCTAAAACAAATACATAAACCTTTAAATTTGTTGATGGGTATTTGGATTGTTTTGCAGTGAATTTTCTTGAAACTGTCTTCCATTGCATATCTGTAAAAAGTCTCTATAGTATGATGAATTGCTATGTCATATGGCAAAGAGACCATTATTATTTCATGAGCAGAGTAGTCAGGGGAAGCAATTTTGGTTATTTATAGGTTTCCCCAAAAAGCCTTATGATTTTAGGTGTGGTGTGTTCAAGATATGCTGTGTGTGACATCTGTCAGTATCTTTCTTTTTTTTTCTTTTTCTTTTTTTTAAATTTTTATTTATTTATGATAGACAGAGACACAGGCAGAGGGAGAAGCAGGCTCCATGCACCGGGGGCGGGGGGGGGGTGCTCGATCCCGGGTCTCCAGGATCGCGCCCTCGGCCAAAGGCAGGCGCCAAACCGCTGTGCCACCCAGGGATCCCTGTCAGTATCTTTCTGTAGGCACTTCTACCTTCACTAAGAATTGTTTCACGGCACCTGGGTGGCTCAGTCAGTTAAGCATCTGCCTTCTCAGGTCATGATCTCAGGGTCCTACGATCGAGCCCCACATCAGGCTTCCTGCTCAGTGTGGAGTCTGCTGCTCTCTCCACACCTCTGCTCCTACTCCTGCTCTCTCTTTCCCTAATTGTATAAACTAGGCCTAATGAAGAATAAGCCTCATGGATGCATTTGGCCCACTTTAAATAGATGCATGGCTTTTTTAATATTTTTGAGACAATTGTAGTTTCACATGCAGTTGAAAGAAATAATACAGAGAGATCCTTTGTATCCCTTACTCAGTTTTCCATGATGGTACCATCTTTCAAAACCAGGGTACAGTATTGCAACCAAGTTAGAGAATGTGCCACTTCTACCAGGATTCCTCAGATTGTTGCCTTTTATAGCTACATCTCCTTCCCTCCTGCCTCTGCCCCCTCCTTTAACCCTTGCCAACCACCAATCTATTCTTCCTTTCTGTAATTCATTTCCAGGATATTATATAAATGGAATCACAAAGTATGTAACATTTTAGTGGTTTTTTTTTTTTTTTCACTCAATGTACTTCTCTGGGAAGTCATCTAGGTAGTTGCATGTATTACTAGTTCATTTCTTTTTTGCTGTTGAGTAGTACTGCAGGGCGTGAATGTTCCACGGTTTGTTTGGCCATCTGCCCGTTAGAGGACATCTGGGTTTCCAGTTTGGGGCCATTCTGACTAAAGTTGCTATAAACGTTCATGTATAGGTTTTTGTGTGGACATAAGTGTTCATTTCTCAGATAAATTTCTGGTTTGTAAGATAGTTGCAAGTATAATCATTATAGGAAATGCTGTTTTCCAGAGTGGTGAAGCCATTGTACATCTTCACCAGAAATAAATGATCAGTTTCTGAGCATCCTCATCAGCATTTGGTGTCCTCACCATTTTATTCTTTAGCCATTCTGATAGGTGTGTGATGTCTGCCATTGTACCATCAGCTGTTATTTCCTTTATTATATGACTTCACCAGAAACTGAGAGGGCCAATGTTAAATAGGTTCTGCAGATTGCTAGGTTTTGGGGGTGGAGAGGATGTGTGAACAAGGTGCTGACGTTTTCACTAAAGGAGAACTAGTGACCAGAAAGTCTGAAACATACCAGACAGCCTGAAGTTTAAAAATGGAAAACTGTTAATATCTACGTGAACTAATACAACCTAGAAGCAATAGAAGGGGAGTGTGAAGGTTGCTCCTTACTTCCTGGCCTTGAAGTAGGTGGGCCTTTCCTTGAGGAGCCTGTGAGGGAAGTAGCATCTTTAGTGGTGAGCCAAGGCTTAGGTAAAGCAAAGAGGCAATGTCTGGTAGAGCAGTTAAAGGTGTAAGGCTGTTTGTTAACCATGGAATAGGGAGAGATTCCATGAACTGCAGTGGAAAATGTTGGGAAGAAAGGGAACCATGGGATGGTGGATTAGATGGGAGGACTGCTAGCACAGTAGACATGACCAGAGGTGATGTGATGACCAAGGATATCTAAGGTTTACCTGGTGAAAAAGATCCCAACAGTTCCTGGGGGACAAGAGAGGCACTCAGTTCTGTCATGAGTCCACTCTTTGTGCACATTTATGTTAAATCCAACTAAAGGAGTACAGGCATGGCAGTTCCTTTAAGACTCGAAGAAAGGGGAACTATAATCAGCACAACCATTTTTGTCTAAATTATAAATGTAAACAATAACTTGTTTTTGGTGCAACCTGGAATTTTTATTTTCTTCCAAATGTATTTTAGCTACTAAGTTAACACATGCATTAAAAATCATTACCTGATTTTTCAAAATTTATGAGATGGTTAAGGTTATCATCTGTATGGCTTCATGAGTGACTCTCTATTTGAGAATTTTACTCTTTTTTACTCTTTCCCAGAAAGGGCGTTTTATTGAAGAATTTCACATGTTGAATAAAAACACAGTAAGAATTTTAGTGAAATTTCCAAAGTTTTGTACATGCACATAACATTTCTTACAGCTTTACTCTGATACTGTTTTAACTTCTGTTAATGTTTTTATTCTCCTGTTACTCTACCAGTCACTGTTTGAATTAATGGAAATGTATTAAATAGAAAGAACAATATTTACTCACACAGTCTTCATCTCCACTTTTTTTTTTTTAATGCTGCTACCTTACTGCTAACTGATGAACAGGAAAATTGAAATCATTGACTAAGAGACTAAAATGTCCTAATTGCTTCTTTGATTATGTGTCCTAGAGAAAAAGAGTTTCTAAAGGGTGTTTTTACAGTTCTTGCTTGAATTTCTTTTTAAATACTTAAAATTATTGTTTTGATTAATATTCTATTCAGAGAGACCTCTGTCATCAATAGCCAGAACAGGGACAAGGAGCTTTATCAAAAAGAATGATGGACATTTGAGATCATAACCTCTGACACCCTCCTTCATTTCACATTTGAGCAAGCTGGGATTCAGAAAGATGAAATCACTTGTCTAAATAAAAGTGTTATCTGGAAGTGGAGATGGGGGAAATGTGAGTAAATACTTTAAAAACATACACATGTATATGTATCTGTGTGTGTGTGTGTGTATATATATATATATACATATATATGTGTATATATATACATATACATATATGTGTGTGTGTATCTCAGGGTAACCCTACTAATTATAAGTTGATATTTCCTATATTATAATCATATAATACTTTTTAGCAAAGTTTTTAACATTTCAGGAACTCCATAGATTCTTCTATAGGAGTTCCTTGTGTGGCTTATTTTTTCAATCAGGAGATTTGTGCTTTAGTTTTTCTGAGAGATTTGTGAAGTAAAAATATTACTTGCTACCCCTTTTTCATTAGAATATATTTCTGATAAACCAATAAAATAAATTTGCCATGTGTTTAGTTTATCTGTAGGGTGGAGGTGGAATTTATGTTCTCCTATGGAAACTTTGGTTATGGATTTTCACATCAGGTTAGTTCCTCTTTTAAAAATTATTCTATAACTCTTCAGTCAAATCTGAGCCTCTCTTCTTTCCAGTTTGATAAATTTTCAAAAATACATATATTTTTAAAATTATTTATTTATTTATTCATGAGGGAGACACACACAGAGGCAAAGACACAGGCAGAGGGAGAAGCAGGTTCCACACAGGGAGCCCAATGTGGGACTCCATCCCAGGACTCCAGGATCACACCCTAAGCCAAAGGCAGACGCTCAACTACTGAGCTACCCAGGGACCCCTAAATACGTATTTTTTTTAAAACAAATATTTTTAAAGGAATGCTGTTTTTCTCCAGCCTAAGGAAAAAAATGAAACCATCATTTTTATTTGCATATGCATTTAAAATAATATTTTATTCAAAATGCCATTATCAGAAAACTTGCTTTTTTTTTAAGATTTATTTATTTACTTATTTATGAGAGACACACACAGAGAGAGGCAGAGACATAGGCAGAGGGAGAAGCAGGCTGCATGTAGGGAGCCTGACGTGGGACTCGATTCTAGGACTCCAGGATCACACTCTGGGCTAAAGGTGACAGTAAACTGCTGAGCCACGGGGGCTGCCCAGAAAATTTGCTTTTGTGTGTTCATTTGAAAACAAAATTATTTCAACTGTATAAGAAGTGCAGGGTTTTGTTTTTTTTTAAAGATTTTATTTATTCATTAGAGACACAGAGGCAGAGGGAGAAGCAGGCTCCATGCAGGGAGCCTGATGTGGGACTTGATCCCAGGACTCCAGGATTATGCCCTGGGCCAAAGGCAGATGCTTAACCGCTGAGCCACCCAGGCGTCCCCAAGTGCAGGTTTTAATTTTTTTTATTTTATTTATTTATTTATTTTTTTAGTGCAGGTTTTTATATCTAAAAATGCTTTTTAAAAATGGAGTCATTTATTATACTCACATATAATGTTTTACTCTGATCGTATATACTCCTTCCCCACTCCCCCACCCCCCATGGTTATTTCAATGTCTGTTATTATTTGAGCACTCCTTGATTTATCGAGAGTAATATGTTCAAAGAAGTTATCTTCCTAGCTTTGTCCTGCCCCTTTAAATTCATTACATATACTCATGTTCCAATGAAAATTTTTGTACATTAACCTATGTCCTGTCCTTTTATTATGTCCTTAGGCTAGATTTCTAGAATGGAAATTATTGTCCAAAACAATGACCTTGTCAGGGAATTGGTTTAGAAATATTGTAGCAACATATATTCTCACCAAGTGTTTGAAAGAACTCTTCATATCCCTGGGTATTATTACAACTTTGGACCATTTATAAATCCAGTCCCATCAGTGCTGCTGTTATACACGGGATATGATCCCTATATTTTGCATATAATTTTTCATTTCATTTTTTTTGCTATTTTTTATAGTCTTGGTTGTCTTTTTTATTAGGAATTGAGAGTGGGTATATTACTCTTATTAAACAGTCTGCCATTATGTTTCCTAAGTAACCCCAGGTAAAATGTTATTCTAAAATTTTGCCTGTGGTACATCATAATGATTTTTAATGCATTTCGAATCAGAACTAAGTAATACACAGAATAAAGCCACTAGGCACAATCTTTTTTCCTTCTTTGATTTTTCTTTCTATTCCTTCTGCCTATTTATTTTCTTATGAATTGGGCCTTGTAGGGACTGTAACTGATTAGTCCCTTTCATGACATAGTTTATAAGCACCAACTTCAGAGGTAGGTTTTGTGTCTGAATATAAGTAAAACATGTAATAATCACATTTTTGGGGAGATATCTCCTTTTCAGATAAAACTAGGCAAGTTTTGTTATACGTAGGTAGATTCTACTGAAAACAAGAAACATATTGTGTGGAAAAGAGTGAGAAATATAATAAAAAATATTGATTTTGATTTTATGTCTATGAACTTTTTTTTTAATTTATTTATTCATGAGAGAGACAGAGAGAGAGAGGCAGAGACACAGGCAGAGGGAGAAGCAGGCTCCATGCAGGGAGCCTGATGTGGGACTTGATCCCAGGACTCCAAGATCACGCCCTGGGCCAAAGGCAGGCGCTAAACCGCTGAGGTACCCAGTGATCCCTATGTCTATGAACTTTTCAGTAATATAGACCCCTACTCACCTGTCTTGATAATGTAAAAAGAGTACAACACTGGGGGCAGATAAAGCTGCATTCAGATCCTGGCTCTGGTGTGTATTGGGTAACCTTGAACAAATTACTGATCCTCAGCATTTTTTGTAAAATGGACACAGTTACCTACATCATAGGATTATTATGTAGGATTACCTACATAAACCTACATCATAGGATTAAAAATAATATTACAGATTCAAGGTTCTTGGCAGATACCTAGTGTCAATAAATGGTAGTTCTTTCTTCCTCTCTTAGTTCCATTTCTTTTTATACGTATTTAAGGCCTATTCTGTAGTCCCGGAGGATAGTAGTATTAGAGTGAACTATAATTGTAACTAAGCAGTGTTAAAATACGCTTACCATTTTCTTCAGTTAAAACCTCTTCAGAAAATTATTGAGCCATCCATGTTTATGAATATTGCACCACCTCCAGAGAGAATAGATCCTGTGATGTAAGTGTTTGAAGTCTTATTTACACAATCAGATTATGTAGCATTAAAACGTTTAATCCATTTGATGGACCATTTTGATTGCCTTTTTTTTAAATTTTTTTTTTAATTTATGATAGTCACAGAGAGAGAGAGAGAGAGAGAGAGAGAGGCAGAGAGAGAAGCAGGCTCCATGCATCGGGAGCCCGACGTGGGACTCGATCCTGGGTCGCCAGGATTGAGCCCTGGGCCAAAGGCAGGCACCAAACCGCTGCGCCACCCAGGGATCCCCGCCTTTTTTTTTTTTTTTTTTTAAGATTTTATTTATTTAATCATGAGAGACAGAAAGAGAGAGAGGCAGAGACACAGAGGGAGAAGCAAACTCCATGCAGGGAGCCCGATCCTGGGACTTGATCCTGGGATTTGATCCTGGGACTTGATCCTGGGACTCGATCCTGGGACTTCAGGATCACACCCTGGGCCAGAGGCAGGCACTTAACTGCTGAGCTACCCAGGCATCCCGCCATTTTGATTGTCTTAAGACATAGCCAGAATGGGCTAGACTCCAAGGTAAAGAGAGCAATGAATTGTTTTTGCTTACTAAGGTGGGAGAAATCTTGGGTTCCTTGGAGAAAGGAGGTGAAGAGGCCTCGAGATGAGATAAAAGAGAGTGTCATCTTCATGGCTGAAGGAGGGAAGGCAGGGTTAAGATAATAAGGAAAGTTGGCTAGTGAGGTACCCTTTTCTAGAAGGAGGTGAGGAATTTATAAGATCAAAGAGTTTATTAATTGTCAGTTTTCCTTACAGTATAGTAGGGTTACCTCCATTCCACACATTCTAATGGTTACTTCTAAATCTTTAGTAAAAAGTTCATGTTAAAAAATATCATTAGCAGGGATCCCTAGGTGGCTCAGTGGTTTAGCGCCTGCCTTCGGCCCAGGGATCCTGGAGTCCTGGGATCGGGTCCCACATCAGGCTCCCTGCATGGGGCCTGCTTCTCCCTCTGCCTGTGTCTCTGCCTCTCTCTCTCTCTCTCTCTCTGTGTCTCTCATGAATAAATAAAGTCTTTAAAAAACTCAAAAAACAAAAATGTCATTAGCAAACCAAAAGTAACTTAAAATATGTCAACTGCTCTTAAAATTTCAACAATAAAAATAGATTAAAGAGAAATGAGCACCTGAGATGGAAATTTAATCTATGGTGCTATCCAAGAATAAGAAATAGAGAGAATGGAATTGAGGGAATTGGGTATAGGATGGGAATTTATATTCTGAAATGCTTATTGTCCTAGATTCTCACCAATACTGGGTATTATCATTAAAGATAAATTTTGTTCACTTGATACTGGTCATTTGTTGAAATAGTAAAATTTGAATGTTTATCAATCATTATTTCTTTATTCACTGATTGATTCAATAAGCATTAATTAAATATCTACTATACCCCCAAGCCATTGCAGATAGTAAAATAAGTAAGACCTGGTCCCTGCCCTCTGGTAGCTCATGGTTTAGTGCAAAGGTAACTTGTGAAAAGAAATTATTATAATACAAATGAGATAAGAATCCTCCTAGAGGTAAACATAAAGAACTGTGGGACATAGCGTGTGGGATAATGGTGAAAGGAACATAAAAGTTGGGTCACAGCAAATTTATTGAAATGGACTCACTAAGCAGAGATTCTGCATTTAATGTTTTAGATAAAGGGGTTAGAAAAGACTGGATTTGGTTGTTTGGTTGCAGAAACATGAACCAAAAGATGCCCACATGGGTGAATTGGAAATGCCAAACCTGCCTTGGTTTAATGTAGAAGGAAGATATTCAAAGGGTTAGAGAGATGGTGATGTTGGTATAGATTTCTTTTTAAGACTTACTCACTCACCCTGAGAGGTTCCAGAAGATACACCTTTCACCATGACTGTGAGAAGTAAATTTGTGAGGGGAGCCCCCCCTGAAGAGCTATGTGATTGCTCTTCTCTGTTAGGCAGACCTTACAGTGGGAGCTGTGGTCACTGAACTGGGAAACCTAAATGCAATGGGAATATAGCGTCCTGAAGTGGCAGGGCCAAGTGATGGCCCACAACCACCTAAGGCAAGATGGCGTGGTTATTGCAATGGACAGTAGAGTCAAAGCAGTAATCAGAATAGTTTGACTCACACAGACCTCTGACATTGGCTAGTTGATCATTTCTAGTTCCTAGAAATAAAATGTATAGGGAGCCTACTAAATTCTTACTTAATTTGTATAAGCAGAGAAGTTCTATATCAAGTGAATAAAAGTCTCACCTGAGTAAAAAATGTACTATCGGTCCTCAGTCAAATCCCAGATTTGAGCCAGTTTGCAGACCCAAAAGCCTTCAAGTGAAGGGGAGGCTTGGTCCCCTTAGAGATTCTGGTTAACTGACAAAAATTTATAATGTTAATCTTTCTCCCAGCTTTCCCAGAAGGGAGGGAGAGGCTTTTACCAGAGTAACTGCATTAGGGAAAAGGAAATAATCAGACCTTTCAAAGACTACTGGACTCTTGCTCTATACTGACCCTAGTTCCAGAAGATCCAAATGGCACCATTGTCCACCTGTCAGACTAGGGACTTACAGAGGACAGGTGATTAATGGAGTTTTAAACCCATCCTGTGATTATTTCCCCAGTTCCAGATTGCATATTTGGAATCGACAAACTTAGCAGTTGGTGAATCCCTACATTGGTTTCCTGTCTTGTGGACTGAGGGATATTATGGTGGGAAAGTCCAAATGGAAGCCACTAGAGAGCTACCTCTATCTAAGAAAATAGTTAAGCCAAAAGCAATACCACATTCATGGAGGGATTGCAGAGATTAGTGCCTTTATCAAGGACTTGAAAGACGCAGGGGTGGTGATTCCCATCACATCCCCATTTAGCTCACTTATTTTGGCCTATGCATAAAATGTCTTGGAGAATGATAGTAGGTTGTTGTAAGGTTAACCAGGCTGTGATTCCACTTGCAGCCGCTGTACTAGATGTGGTTTCATTGCTTGAGCAAATTAACACCTCCCCTGGTACCTGGTATGCAACTGTTGATCTGGCAAATGCTATTTTGCTCATATAAAGACCATCAGAAGTAGTTTCTTTGATCTGGTAAGGCCAAGCAATATACCTTCACTGTCCTACCTCAGGTATATTAACTTCTCCAGCCTATGTCATTAATTCAGTTCACAGGAATTTTTTAAACAAGATTTATTCATTTTAAAGAGAGAGCATGGGGAGGAGCAGAGGGAGAGGGAGAGAAAACGTCCAAAGCAGTCAGTCCCCACACTGAGCACAGAGCCTGACACAGGGCTTGGTCCCACATCCCTGAGATCATGATCTGAGCTGAAACCAAGAGTCAGTTGCTTAACTGACTGAGCCACTCAGGTGTCCCATAGTTCACAGGTATCTTGATTGCCTTTCCCTAATACAAGATATTACACAGGTCCATTACAGTGATAACCGTTATGCTGATTGGACCTGGTAAATAGAAAATAGCAACTAATCTAGACTTCTGATAAGATATTTGCATATCAGAGGGTGGGAAGAATTCTGACAAAAATTTAGTAGTCTTCATTGAAATTTTTAGGATCCAGTGGTCCCGCACCTGCTAAGGTGGAGGATAAGTAGTTGTATCTGGCCCCTCCTAGAACCAAAACAAAAGCATAATGCCTGGTGGGCTTTTTTGGATTTATTATTTGGGTGTACTACTCTGGCCCATTTATCAAGTGACCTGAAAAATATATTTACATAGCAAATATATTTTCTTCTCTCATATCCCCTTATCATGTAACATTAGCTATATTGACTTTATACTGTAACACTTAAGTACTGTTAAATTTAGATCATACTATTTAAGTTTCAGGATATTAAGAAAAGTAAACATCACCCAAAGACTTTATATTCTTTTTTGGGGAAGAGGTTAGTGAATTTTTGGTTGTATGCAGGATAGTTGTATCATGTTAAGTGGAATTATGATGTGTTATTGTTCTCATTTGGAGATTAATTATGTTTTAAAGATAGGCTTAAGGGTGCCAGGTTGGTAAGGGGTGGGTGGACTTGTGATGATCAATTTCACTTGACTAAGCTGCAAAATAGAGATTTGGATCTAGAGATTGGGAGAGAGGTCTGGGCTCAAACACTTTCTACTTCTCATTAGAACTTCAGGTCCTTATCTCCTTTCTCATCCCTGCTGCCCATCTTATAGTAAGAATGTTCAAGAGAGTACTTCTGTCAGGATGTCTGACCTTTGTCTTTTTTCCTAGCTCTACCTTCTGATGGTTCAAGGTAGATAGATGAGCTACAGTGTACAAGAGAGAATGATTTTAAGTGTGCTTTTGTGTAATTGCAATATTTAACATTATAACCATTTGGCAGAAATGTTATTACACCACAACCAATAGAATATCCAGCATTCCTATCCTCAGACCTGAATGTTACCGTTGGGATGCCACCTGCAGTGTCCCAATCCAACCAGCCACCTGTAGTACGACTTGAAAAACTTCAGCAACAACCTCGGGAAAGGTAAAAAAAAAAAAAAAAAGAAAAAGAAAAAAGAAAATCTTCATCTTATTTATGTGTTAGTGGTACGTTAATTTTTTCTTTTGGGACATGGGCTTTAGGTATTTGTTTGGAAAAGTCAGTGTTGGGGATCCTGGGTGGCTCAGTGGTTTAGTGCCTGCCTTTGACCCAGGGCATGATCCTGGAGTCCCGGGATCGAGTCCCATGTCTCTGGCTCCCTGCATGGAGCCTGCTTCTCCCTCTGCCTGTGTCTCTGCCTCTCTCTCTGTCTCTCATGAATAAACAAATAAAATCTTAAAAAGAAAAAAAAGGAAAAGTCAGTGTCTAGTGCCCCTGTAATACATATGGTGGTACACTTTGTTGTGTCCTATAAATAAATCCTTTAAGCTATCTTTACTTTTTTTCATTCTTTTTTTTTTTTTTTTTGCTCTTCTGATTGAATAAATTCCTTTGCCTTGTCTTTGAGTTTGCCAATCCTTTCTTCTACATCTAGTGCTCTTGAATCCTTCTATTGAATTTTTCAGTTATTTTGTTCTTTAGCTCTATGATTTCTGTTTGGTACTTTCCTATATTTTATATCTCTTTGTTGCAATTCTCGTTCTGTTTATGAATTTTTCTCCTGACCTCTGAGCATCTTTATGATCACTATTTTGAATTTTATATCAGGTAAATCAGATTTTATTAAGGTCTGTTTTTTCTTATTTATTTCTTTGAAACTTACGTTCTGAAGTTTTATCTTGCTATTCTGTTCTTGTTATCCTCTTCATTTATCCTGACTCTCTGTGTTGGTTTCTGACCATTAGATAAAACTGCCACGTTTCGTAGTCTTGATGGAGTGGTCTCATATAGGAAATGAACCTCATCAATGAACCCAGCCCAAGCTCTTGGGTGTCTCTCAAACCTTTGTGATTGTCCAGGCTGATTTCTTTTTTTCTTAGCAGCTTCCAGTTGTTCAGTGTTTCAAGACTTGTCAGTATCTCAAAGAGGAGAATCTCAGTCAGCCTCTAGATTAAGGCTGACCAGCAGCTGAACCCCAGACAGCTGTTGGGCAAATATGTAACTAGAGCCCTTCCATGGAGAAACTAAAAGATGAGCTTTCTTGTTTGCTCCCTTTGTGCTAGGCCTGTGGATATAGCCACTGGAGTGGAAGTCATTCCTGGACCTGTTAGGAACTGCTTCTTTGTGTGCTGAAGTTCTGTGGGACTGGTGAATGCAAGCCCTATTGGCTATGGCAGCCAAACAATCCAGGGGCCCATCTCTTTGGCAACAGCCACAAAGTCTGGGGTGCCAGATGTCTGTATAAGCTCCTTCCAGGGAGATACTGATGGTTTGGATCGGTCTAGAAGGAGAAGGAGATAGCATCTGCTGACTTCCAGAGATCTCAAGAAGGATTTCAGTCAACTCCAGGTAGCAGCTTTTAAAGAATGCAGTAGGCATCTTTTGGGAAATAACAGGGAGATGAGCTTATTTTTGTGCCACTCCTTCTGTGCTGAGCCCTGAGCGGACAGCATAGTAAGTCCTAGCAAACCTGAAACTTTTTTTTTCTGTAGCCTTATGGGTCTTGTGGTCACACGCTTTCAGAAATAGGAGCTTTGGGGGCCTGTCCCTCAGATGGGAGTCTTGAAAGTTGGGATGCTATATGTGTTGTCCAACCCTTTTTCTCCTCAGGGGGATCCTGGGAGTTGGGAGTTGGGAGTTCTGTCCCAATTGTATGACACTGTGCCAGGGGTGGGGCTTATGGTATGTGCCTCATCCTTTCCCATGGATGTGAGTCATTTCTTATTTGCACGATGTGTAGGAGTTGCTCAGCTTATTTCTTTTTTCAGAGAGAATTGCTCTTTGTATAACTGTAGGTACAGTGCAATACATGGGAGGAGGTGAGTTCAGGAGCCTCCTCACCACCATCTTAAACTGGAAATTGCTGGGGCAGCCTGGGTGGCTCAGTGGTTTAGCGCCGCCTTCAGCCCAGGGTGTGATCCTGGAGACCCCGGGATCGAGTCCTGCATCAGGTTCCCTGCACGGAACCCTGCTTCTCCCTCTGCCTGTGTCTTTGCCTCTCTCTCTCTCTCTCTCTCTCTCTCTCTCTCTCTCTCATCTCTCATGAATAAATAAATAAAATCTTTAAAAAAAACCTGGAAATTGCTAATTTCCTTAATGTCTTACCTAATAGTTTACAACTGGATCCTTGTAATTGCTTCAGCATTTAAACAGAGTGTCTCCAGCTGCAGAACCTCAACTTATATAGCTCATAGTGACAGTGACAGCCACTGCTCTAATTTCTCTAGCTTCACCAGCTGATCTGCCTCTTCCTAGCAAAATGGGTCCCAGTGAATCGTCTTGCTCCTGTCTGTGCTCACTGACTCACATGTATTTTTCTTTCATGCTTTCAAAGTCTAGGGTTGTTACTCTGTTCCTTATTTTCTCGTTCTTATAACTACTTTGGAATTTGGCACTGGTAGTTTTCTGTTACTCAATTTTATATGGAATTAATTTTCCTGAAATTTTTTTATAGGAGATTTGGTTTAGAAAGCTTATTGAGTTTCACAGAGCTCCCACTATTGATGTTTTCATTTGGTGTTAAAAAATGAGTTGCTTTCTAAGATTTTCTGGGGCCATGCCCTGGACTAGAGACCTGGTTGGTCAGTTTTGAGTATTCACAGTGGTTAGACTGCTCCAGTCCTTTTAATGTTTACCATGAATCCTCTGTTCTCACTTTGCTATTGGAAAAAGCAAAATGCTCCCAGTTTCAACTGCTTTTCTCAAATTGGCCTGCTGTAATTTCCCATGACTACCTGTTGGCTATTTTGGGGTTTTCTTATTTTCAGGTCCATCAGATGCTCCTCCTTCCATTTATTTTAAGATTTCGTTATTTATTTAGAGAGTGCAAGCTGGGGGACTGACAAAGGGAGAGAAACCCAAGCAGACTCCTTGCTGAGTGCAGAGCTCCATGAGGGGCACAATCTCAGGACCCTGAGATCATGACCAGAGCTGAAATCAAGAGTTGGATGCCCAACTAACTAAGCTATCCAGGTGCCACCATATGCCCCGTTTATACCTGTTGCTTTTTGACATATGTACACCAATACCTTGAAGGTCTTATGTATATGTTTTGGGGTTCATAGAGATGCCTTGTCATATGATTGTGTTGTAAATGTTGCCCATATGTTCTTGGGTTTGCTATTGAGCTACTCTGAATGTTTTTACATAAAGATTTGAGAAGATTTTAAAATTATCCCTGCTGGCCTTATCTTCTAGAATTTCCTCTTTGACTAAACTTTCATATTTATAATGATTTATCTATAGTATCATTTGAGAGAATTTATTTAAACAATCATACCTACAAATAACTATTTTTTTTATCTCCAGTACTTAACTCTTTAATTTTGCTTTCTTGTCTTACTATGCTAGCTAGAAGTTCCAGTCAGTGTCTAATATAAATGGCAAGGATGGACATCCTTGTTTTGTTCATGATCTTTAAAGGCAACACTTCTAGCATTTAATAGTTAAGAGCATTTACTTATATAGGGTTTTTTAAATATAGATAAGCTATACCAGGCTACGTAAATCATTCCACTTTGTTCCTAGTTTTCTTAGTTTCTTTAAAATCATAAATGGATGTTAGATTTTGCCAAATGTTTTTTTCCCTTTTAATTGGCCAAATTGTATTTATATTTTCTAATGTTAACATCAAAATATCCTTGTATACCTGGGATAAATCCAACTTGTTCATGATATATTATCTTTTCTCTATACTATTGGATTTTTTTGTACTAAAGTTATATTTATTTGTATCATTTGCATCTATGTTCATGAATGAGATTAGACTAATTTTCCTGTTTTATAATGTCCTTATTAGTGTTTATTATCAAGGTTATAGTGTCTTCTGGGAAACATTCACTTTTTTCTGTTGAATTCTTGTCAGTTACATCTTTAGATGACTAAAGCTTTTTTAAATTTCTTGGATTAGAAGCTGAATTCCTATTTTTTCTTTTGTTGCAGAAAATATGTATATATTGGATAACATATATGTATATATAAGCTTAAATAATGAGACCAATATATATTGAATAACTTCTAAAACATGCATGTATAGCTTAAATAAAAATAATAAGACTACTGCCTAGATATTTATAATTCAAGTTAAGAAATACAACATTGGGGCACCTGGATAGTTCAGTTGGTTAAGCTTCTACCTCTTGGTTTTGACTCAGGTCATGATCTCAGAGTCATGAGGTAGAGCCCTGTGTCAGGCTCCATGCTCCAAGCTCCACATGGAGTCTGCTTGAGATTTTCTCTTCCCCCTCCCCTTACCCGACTCAAACATGTACTTTCGTTCTCTCTTTCTCTCAAATAAAATAAATAAAATCTTAAAAAAAAATAAAAGAAATACAACATTGCCATATTGGAAATCCTAGCCATAGCAGTCAGACAAGAAAAAAGAAATAAAAGGCATCGAAATTGGCAAGGAAGAAGTAAAACTATCACTATTTGCAGATGACATGATACTCGATATAGAAAACTCAGAGGACTCCACCAAAAAATTGTTAGAAGTGATACATGAATTGAGTAGAGTCACAGTATACAAAAATCAACAGACAGAAATCTGTTGCATTTCTATACACCAATAAGGAAGCAGCTGAAAGAGAAGTCAAGGAATTAATCCCATTTACAATTGCACCAGAAACCATAATACACTTAAGAGTAAACCTAACCAAAGAGGTAAAGGACCTATACTCTGAAAACTAGAAAACACTGATGAAAGAAAATGAAGATGAAACAAAGAAATGGGAAAACATTCCATGTTCATGGATCAGAAAAATGAATATTGTTAAAATGTCTATGCTGCCCAAAACAATTTACACATTTAATGCAATCCCTAGAAAATACTAACAACAGTAAAAAAAAAAAGAAAAAGAAAAAGAAAAAGAAAGAAAAAAAAAAGAAAATACTAACAGCATTTTTCATAGAACAAACAACCCTCAAATTTGTATGAAACCACAAAAGACCCCAAATAGCCAAAGCAACCTTGAAAAAGGAAAGCAAAGCTGGAGGCATCACAATTCTAGACTTCAAGTTATCTTACAAAGCTGTAGTAATCAAGACAGGATGGGCACAGAAACGGACACATAGATCAATGGAACAGAGTAGAAAACCCAAAGATTAATCTACAACTATATGGTCAATTAATCTTTGACAAAGCAGGGAAATATCCAATGGAAAAAAGACACTTTCTTCAACAAAGTTGTGAAAACTGGACAGCAATATGCAAAAAGAATGAAATTGAACCCCTTTAACACTATATACAAAAATAAATTCAAAATGGATTAAAAACCTAAATGTGAGACATTAAAATCTTAGAGGAGAACAGAGGCAGTGAGTTCTATGATATTGGCTCATAGCAACTTCTTACTAAATATGTCTCCTGATGCAAGGGAGACAAACCCAAAAATCATCAAATAAAATAAGCTTCTATGCAGGGAGGGAAACAATTGACAAAACAAAAAGACCACCTACTGAATGGGAGAAGATATTTACAAATTATATATATCTGATAAAGGGCTAATATCCAAAATATATAAAGAACTTATGCAATTCAACACCCCAAACCCAGATAATCCAGTTAAGAAATGGGAAGAAGACATGAATAGACATTTTTCCAAATAAGACATCCAGATGGCTAACAGACACATGAAAAAATGCTCAATACCACTCCTCATCAGGGAAATACAAATCAAAACAATGAAATATCACCTCACATCTGTCAGAATGGCTAAAATTAACACAAGAAACAAGTGTTGGCAAGGATGTGGAATAAAGGGGAACTTTCTTTTACTGTTGGTGGGAATGCAAACTAGTACAGCCATTTTGGAAAACAGCATGAAGTTTCCTCAAAAAGTTAAAAGTAGGACTACCCTATGATCCAGCAATTGCACTACTAGATACTTACCCAGAGATTAAAAAACTGCTAATTCAGAGGGGTACATGCACCCCAATATTTATAGCAGCATAATTAACAGTAGCCAAATTATGTATATATACACAATGAAATTTTACTGAGCTATAAAAAAATAAAGGATTCTTGCCACTTGCAACAACATAGATGAAGGTAGAGAGTATTATGGTAAGCAAAACAAGTCAGAGAAAGACAAATGCCATATTATTTCACTCCTATGTGGAATTTAAGAGACAAAACAAATGATCATGGAAAAAAAGAAACCAAAAAACAGTTTCTTAAGTATAAAGAACAGACTGATGGTTGGCAGTGGGGAGCTGGGTGGGTGGGATGGATTAAATAGGTGATGGAGATTAAGGAGTACACTTGTGATGAGCATCGGGTATTGTATGGAAGGGTTGAATCACTAAGTCGTACACCTGAAACTAGTATGACACTGTATGTTAACTGGAATTTAAATAAAAACTTAAAGGAATAGAACACCAATATCACAAATGTGTTTTGTGTGCCCTTATGAGATTCCATCCTCTCCCCAATCTATCCTTAGGTAACTGTTGCCCTGACTTTTGTTGTAATCATCCCTTTTCCTTTCTTTGATGGTATCCTTAAACAGTATATTGCTGCTTTGCCTCTTTTAGAATATTTTATAAGTGGATCATACTGAATGTATTCTTTTGTGAATCATACCATATCTGTCACTTTTTTTTAATTTATTTTATGATAGTCACACACACACACACACACACAGAGAGAGAGAGAGAGAGAGAGAGAGAGAGAGGCAGAGACATAGGCAGAGGGAGAAGCAGGCTCCATGCACCGGGAGCCCGACGTGGGATTCGATCCGGAGTCTCCAGATCGCGCCCTGGGCCAAAGGCAGGCGCCAAACCGCTGCGCCACCCAGGGATCCCTATCTGTCACTTTTTAAGTGTATAACTGATTTCTTTCTTTAGGCTGGAAAAAATGAAAAAAGAATACAGAAATCTGAATACATGGATGGAAAAAGCTAGCTATTTAGAAGGGCTTCTTACCCCAAAATTTGCCCATAAAGAACGTAAGGTAATTAACATTCTCCATATATAATTTCTAATACTTTTATTTAAAAAGATTATGATAATTAAAAGTGATGAGATATAGCTTCGTCTTGATATATAGAATGTCTTTCATCGTTCATGTACTTTTCTGTTTTGCTAATGTGATATTCCATAAATATTGACTATTAATTTGTAAGATTTCATTTTTTAACAACTTGGTTAAAATATCAACTACTTAAAGCATACAATTCAGTGGCCTTTAGTATATTCAGAGTTGTATGTCCATTGCTATGATCAATTTTCAGATATTCTCATTACTCATGAAAGAAACTCCACACCCCTTAACCAAACCTCCCAGGCCCCCCTGACCCTAGACAATAACTACTCTACTTTCTGTTACTATAGATTTGCTTATTCTAAACATTTCATTTGAATGGAATCATAATATATAATTATTTTATTCTTTCACTTGGCATGGTTTTCAGGGTTCATTCCCATTGTAGCATGTATCAATCTTTTGTTTCTTTTTACTGCCAAATAATATTCCACTAAATGGGTATTTACCACATTTTGCTTATCAGTTGGTGAACATTTGAGTTGTCTCAACTTTTTAGCTATCATGAATAATGCTGCTGTGAATATTCGTGTGCAGATTCTTCTGTGAGCATATGTTTCTAATTCTTCTGGGTATATACCTAGAAGTAGAATTGTTGGACCAAACAGTAGTTCCTTTTTTAACGTTTTCAGGAACTATCAAACTGTTTTCCATAGTGGCTACACAATTTTACATCCAACTAGCAATGTATGAAGGTTCCATATCTTCTCCAACACTTGTTATTTTGCTTTTTTTGTTTGTTTCAATTATAGCTATCCTAGTGGGTTTGAAGTGGTATCTCATTGTGGTTTTGATTTGCATTTCCCTGATAACCAATGATGTGAACATATTTTCATGTGTTTACTGGCCATTTGTATATATTCTTTAGATAAATGTTTATTTAAATCCTTTGTTGATTTTTAAATTGCGTTATTTGTATTTTCATTGTTGAGTTATAAGAGTGCTCTAAATCTTGAATACTAGATCTTTATTAGATAATATAATATTTAGAAATACAGTCTGACCTATACATTTTGGCCCAGCAATAGAGATTCACAGAAATTTCAGTGAATTAGTAAAACATTGACTAAGGTCACAGCCTTGAAGTGGTAGTCATAACACACTGATACATTAATGTTTTTCATGACTCGTATTTTGACATAGTGGTACTTCATTAGGATAAATTAATTAGCACTTATACAGAATTAGTATTTTACGGAAAATTTGGGGAGCCCTTAATTAAAGGAACTGTGGACTTTTTTTCTTATTAAAAAATCAGTATTTTATGAGTCAGTGATCACCCTACCTTATAATTCCTCTTGGAATATATTTAAAGATCCACATCACTTTGCAGCTTATAGGCCATAATGTTTTCCAATAAAAAAGTAATTTATTTTCTGGTGATATCTTCTTTTATCCTTTGAAGTTATGATATTGTTAACTTATAATCTTTTTCTCTTACACACTTGTTACTCAAATACCCTTATCAATTTTTGGAAAGCTTCTCCCTGGAACATTAACTCTTAGCCAGGGTATACTTCTCTTTAAAATAGTGCTATTTGGACAGTTTTTCTCATGAAACCACATTCTTCTGTAAATTTTACAGAAGGTAATAGAAGAAGTTATAAAGGCAAAATAGCTCTCTAAACATTTCTCCAAAATCTTTCTTTTTTTTTTCTTCTTATTTCTAGGGAAGTGATACCAGTGAGTTACTTGCAAGCCTCTTTGAAAAGGAGCCTGAAAATGGTGTAACATCAGGTTGAGAAATTCACATTTGTATTTATTATTAAGATAATTTAAAAGAGGGTAGTTGTATCACAAAAAGAAAATTAGTAATTTGCTTTAAGTGGATTTCATTTTTTGTTGGAAATATGTATCTCATTGTAGTTTTAGTATATAGCGTTTATTTTGTAACACTCCAAAGAAAAGACTGAGACCCAATTAAGAGGTTTTTTTTAAAAAAAGATTTTTATTTATTTGTTTTAGAGAGAAACTGTGTGTGAGCAGGGGGAGGGGCAGAGAGAGAGTGACAGAGTCTCAAGCAGACTCCACACTGAGTGTGGAGCCTGACATGGGACTTGATCTCATGACCCTGAGACCATGACCTGAGCCAAAACCAGCTGACACACCCAGGTGCCCAAGAGTGTTGTTGTTGTTGTTTTAATACTCCTTTACTCGTTTAAGGACAAGAAAAGTTAAATCTTAATTATGATCTATGAAAAAGATATTTTTCTTAAACAGTAGATGTAGAGGTATTGGTCTCTTTTTAGTAGAAGTGTGTGTCTGTGTATGAGAAAGGAAGGCAAACAGAGAGAAGGGAACGGGAAATTCAATTAGCATTAAATTTGAGAACTTATCACATATTATCAGTAAAGTAATAGAAGATATTGTTTGGTAGTCTTTTAAAAAATTTCTGTTAGAATATTCATTGAAAGTAAGTTAAAATAAAAAAAAGAAAGTAAGTTAAAATAGATGCATAATACTTTATCTGCAAGATCTTGGATTCTGCAGGTGTGGAATAAGGATTTATTGTTATAAGACTTGGGCTACAAGTTACTTCTCTATTTCCCTACTTCTACCTCCTGGCTACCTCAGCCTCTGATATGTTCATTTCCTAACGATTGAGGATCAACCAGCCTAGCAGAGCTATGTGTCTTTAGCCTACTCTTTACCTTGAAGTGTTCAATTTTCAGGTATAGGAGAATCATAGTTTCCATCTTCAGTATCAAAGTTGGAGAGTCGAGGCTAACACCCCTCACTCACTGTTGGTTGCCAACTTTTTCTTATCCAAAGAGTTTATTTCAAGTCTAGTGACTTCTTTTTTTCTGGTATTCCTATACTTCTTACAGCTTCCCCCAACATTTACTGATCACTGTGTTGCAGGCCTTTACCTAGATTATATAAATCAATCCTCACAGCAGTCAATTGAGGGTGTTATTATTTATCTACATTTTACAGATGAGAAAGCTGAAATCAGATTAACCACTCAGAAGTCACACAGCCATTAACTGGTAGGGTTTGTATTTGAACCTAGTCTGTTTGACCCAAGAGCTTCAGCATTTAACCATACTGCTGCTCACATTGTACATAGACTTGTATCCTACCTGTAAGATAAGCCATTATTATCCTGTTTTACATATGACAAAACCAAAGCTCAAAAAATGAGCTAAGCTGACCACAGCCACACAACTAACAGTGACCAAAATAAGTTTTGTTTTATACTAGACTTAACACATTCTTTTGTATCTCAATTTTTTATTCCGTCTCTCTTCCTTTTAGGTTTTCCTTTTCTACTTGCTAAATATATATTCTTTATGTCTCTAGGAAAATTTTACAAGTGCTTCAGCCAGCTTTCTTTCAAATGGTCCTACTTTCTCTGGTCATATGCACCTTTATTCCATTCTCTTTCGAATCCCAACCCTATCACTGACCATCTGGGATTTATTTTATTTCCTCTTGACTTGTAGCAAAAGACACTGTATATCTGTTTTTATCTCTTACATTGATGGATCTGAAATCTTAATTCATGTTTTCATTTTATCTCCATGATTTTTAATTTATCTCTCCATCTTCCCAGAGATTTCTCAGCTTGTTTTTACTAAATAGTATTTATGTTTGAATAGCTGCTTTGATTTAAATTGCTTTGTTCTTGGTGAGAAAAATTAAAATAGTATTTTGTTAGTGTGCATATATATAAATGTATTTATTGTTTTATAATGTTATATGATAAAATACTTCTATTAATTTATTAACAGATGTACCTTTTATAAAGGAGGAAGCTGAAACTGTTCCAAGTGAGGTAAGGGAACTTGGAAGAGAACTTCTAATAGTCACTATTTTATAAAGGGATGAAACATTTATAAATAAAGAAATACATATAGATGGGAAAAAAGCACCCAAGAAGTTATTCAGGTTTTTATGGTTATTTCTGTTGTGGCCGTATCTATACAATTACATTATTTACTTAAGTTATATTACACTATTAAAGGGGAAATTACAGCATAAAATGGTAATATTTAAAAATACATACAAAGATGGGGACAAAAGATGTTGACAAAGTGAAAGGGGGCAACAAGTAAAAATAAAAGCATAAAATTTTGCACAATGATCTTAGAAATGGATGCCACAGACTAAACTATGTTCTTTACTTTCTCTGTGGGTTTATAATCTATATTTAAATAGAAGCAAAAAAATAGAGTTAATATAATATTGTTTGATTTTATGATATTTTCTTTGTGCTCTTTTGCTGTTAAAATTCCCCCCCCCCTTTTTTTTAAAGATTTCTTTATTTTAGAGATAGAGCACAGGTGCAAGTTTGTGGTGGGGGGAGGGGCAGAGAGAGGGAGAGTGTCTCAAGCAGACTCCCAGCTGAGCACACAGCCTGACACGAGGTTCAATCCCACGATCCTGAGATTGTGACCCAAGCTGAAATCAAGAGTCGGACACTCAACTGACTGAGCCATCTAGGTGCCCCTAAAGTTTTCTTTATTTATGATATATTGGTGTAGCATAATAATAGCAAAATGTTAGACTCTTCAATTTTTTTTGAGATATTGCTGATTTATAAAATCTGAGTACATGAGAACCACTGCTTTGTAAAGCAGTGTGATTATTTTAATGAAATAATATTCTATAGTCCTTAGTTTCAGGCAAGTGGAGTTTAACTCTTTTAATAAAGAATGTAATAATTGACAAATATTGAAGGTAAGTTCTTATGAAAACTGATAAAAGGGTACAAATGATTTTAAGTTTTATTAGTTTTAAATATTTTCTAGTCAGTAATGATTAATTGGTAGCTTGCTTTATTGATCTATTTTCTAGTTGCCAGATAATGATGATAAGAACGACTTGATTCTCCCACCTTTGAACGAGTCAAATCAAGATAATTCAGATGCTGTTGCTATTGCTCCTGAAAGTGATGAATCAACAAAGCAAACAGATGAGTCAACAAAGCAAACAGATGAGTCAACAAAGCAAACTCCTGTTGTTCCAGTCCTGACAATAACGGAGGAGAACAAAACATTACCTTTAGAGGAATACCTATCAAAAGCTCCACCAGAGGGAAAAATGAAAAATATGTTCCCTCCACCAGAAGTAAAATTGAAAGCTAGATATCCAGGCCTTTTAAAAACAGACTCATCTCCATCAGAGGTAAAGATGAAAACTAGCTTTATATATCCAGGTAAAATAAAGAGGAGGAACTTAGATTCATCTCCATCAGAATATTGTTGGCAAAGCAACAATCTAAGCTTAGCTGGGAGGAAGAGCACAAGCTTAGTTTCCCCAGGTTCAAAATCAAAAGGTAGGTCTCAAAGCCAAGATCCAGAGGAACACCTTGAATTAAAGGTAGCTGCTCTTGTATTAGAAGTGTGACTAGAGAAAATAATTCATTAAAAAAAAAATAATAAATTGAAAATACATTCAAAAGTCTCCAAGTGGAAGTATGTCTAAGTATATTAAACATTCCTACCCTACTTATATTCGTCAAGTGAGGAGAAAAAACTCTTGAAGGAAAAGCAGAGTGATGTGAAATACCTGTAGTACAAAATAGTCTCATGGGTGGGCATAAAGTTCAGCCGAAAGTGTAACAACAATAACAAGCTGTAAATTTATAGGAAACTTAAAAATCTTGAGAAGTTATTTCAGTGGAAATTATTCATAAAGCTATTATAGGAAATGGTATATTATTATTATTATAAATAATTGTATAGCTTAAAATGAGAATGATTTGAATATCAGTTTAAAGGGTTAAAGCCTTTCTCAAAATGACAGTTATTCTACTTAGATCTTTAGTTCTTATTTGAATCACTATTATAGGTAGCTCCTAAAGGAGTGTAAACATGTGTACTGGCCAGTGGATGAACAATCTGAATTCTAAGTAAGGTTCTGCCTCTGAATACTTCAACAAGCTTGGGCACCTAAATCTCTAGATCTATTTTCTCATCTGTTGAATGGTAGATCATATCAGGTCATTTCTAAATTCTCTCCCAAATTCCAAAAGATAATTTTATTAAATATCTCCAGTTGGGGAACTATTCTTAAGTACCTTGGTCAGTAGATTAACCAGTGTAACTTATAAAGAATAACATTCTTGTTTTTACTGAATGTGAAAATAATAGTTATAGAAAATTTAGAAAATAGATGCACAGACGACAAAAGTAGTTATAATCCTCCTGCCACTTTTAACAATTTTTTTCCTTTCAGCCTTGGTATTTATATATAAGCATATTTTTCATTTATTTTTTAAAAATAATCAAAATAATATGTGTGTATATATAAATAATTTTATATTGTGCTTTTTAAAACTTGACATTATAAGCATGTTACCTGAATTTTCTTAAAAACCTGGAAGATATAGAATACCCTCAAATATAGATACTTAATAATTTCCTTAAACATTTTCTATATTGTTGGATATTCGATTTGAAATTAACATCCTTTCTGTAGCTGTTTCTTTGGATCTGTGATTATGCCCTCATGTATTTCTAGAGATGGCCTTTGGCAGATTTGCTCTCTAGAAAGATCTTACCACTCTACCTTCTCACCAATAGTATTTGAATATTAATGATCTTGTAAATAATGATTAGAACTCATATTAGCTATTTTGATTGTCCCTGCTGTGAGTAAACAGATCATGTCTTTTGTCCATTGTTTTCTGTTGAGTACTTGGTGATTAGGTTGAGGTTTCACAGTGAGCTCTTTTTCATTATAAGGATATTAACCAGTGGTATGTTCATGACACATACTTTTTCATAGTTTGTAGTTTGCCTTTTAATTTCTCTATCGAGTCTGACTTCCAAAATATTCAGTTTTCATTTGATAAGTGAGTTACTTATTGTTGTATAACAAATCACTCCAAAGCTTAGTGGCCTAAAATAATCATTTTCTTATCTTTAGAAGATTCTGTATAAGATTGTGCTCAGCTGGGAAGTTTTGTTCCACTTAATGTTGGGTAGGCTCATAATCATCTAGGAGCTCAATTGGACTGGAACACTCATGAGGTTCACGTACATGTTTTACACTTTGATGGGGACAGCTGTAAATCTGGGTTTGGTTGAGATGCATGAATATCTAGTTTGATGTATATCTTCCCACTCCCCACCACCACTGTTATGTAACCTTAGGGATTATCTCTTTCTTTCTCCATGCTGCCTCTCTAGCAGGGCAGCTCAATTTCTTATGTTGCAGCTTGGGGCTTCCAATATACAAAACCAGAAGCTTCGAGTCCTCTTAAGACTTAGGCTTGGAACTAATGCAAGGTCCATAGATTAACCACCATAGATTAACTATCTCTACCCCCCAAATAATTCATGTGCCTCCTACATGCAGACTATACTTACTCCCCTTCTAAGATCCTTGGCTAATGCTATTACTGCATCAGGCTTAGGCTTGAAGTATAGATTTTCAACATCTAAATCAGATCCAGGTAGATGAGGCTTCTTGAATATGGCTCTTCTCAATCTTAAGATCTGTGAATTGAAAAGACAAATTACCTGTGTCCTATATACATGGTGAGTAAGGAACAGGAAAACAGATAGGCACTTATCTTCCAAAGGTGGAAGAAGGGGAAAGTGAAGCATACAACAGTCAGTGAATGGGCCGTAGTAATTTCGATGCTCTTGCCTCTGCCCTTGGGGCTTGGCTTTATCTTTTTTTTTTCCCACGAAAAAGAGCTTATATTTGTAATTGAGTAGCTTTGAAGCCTATGTATTCTCCGTAGAAAATTGAGAGTTCAAAAACCTCTTTCCATTTAGGTTGTCTCTATTCCTGTCCCAGATGCTATGATTCTTAAAGATTTTGTAGGCTTTTTGTATATACAGTTATGGATATGCAAACAGTCAACTGTTGCAGTCTTGAATATCTTTAAGACAGACCACTATTTACCTTTGATTGAAAGCCAAAGTGCTGTAATACAATATCCATAAGAATCTTAAAGGGTCTCCTATCCAGTAAAGATAATCTAACAAGCCATCCTAAGATACTTAGAATATTTTTTGTTTAGCTGAATGAGTCAGTGAAACACTACCTTTTTGAAGTCTGAACAAGAGATCTTACAGTCACACCTTTGTGATCTTGACCTTGAAACCGCATTTTCCCAGCAAGGCCATTGGAACCCAATCAATGAAGTCATGAGACTGGGATTTCTGTCATTGGTTCAATGGCTTAACAGTGTCTTCAAGGACACTTTTTATATTTCCTCTTTTTCATGCTCATGCTTGTCACTTTATGATCACAGGATGTTTGCTTCAATCATAGGCATCATACATAGATCAAGGCAGGACAAAGAATGTAGGGGTTGAACAATTAAATTCTTTTGCACTTGCCCCTTTTTATTTCTACAAGGAAACAAAAGTTTACCCAATCAACCCCCAGTAGATTTTGTGTCTCATTGACTAGAATTATGTAACATGAATACTTCTAGCTTCAAAGAAGAGTGGGAAAACTAATATTTGGTAAAAGGGAATGGGATTTCCAATAATGATTCATCATTTTGGGCTGGATAGGTGGCTGTTTTTTTTTTTTTTTTTAAGATTTTATTTTATTCATGAGAGACACAGAGAGAGGCAGAGACACAGGCAGAGGGAGAAGCAGGCTCTATTAAAAAATAATTAGGAAGACAAACCATGAGAGACTCCTAACTGGGAAACAAACAGGGTTGCCGAAGACGTGGAGGGTGGGGGGGATGGCGTGACTGGGTGATGGGCACTAAGGAGGGCACTTGATGGGATGAGCACTGGGTGCTATACTATTGTTGGCAAATCAAATTTAAATAAAAAATTAAAAAGAATAAAGCTATATATTTTTCTCTAAAAGAAAAAAAAAGAATAGTCCATACAGACACTTAATATATACTTATTGAATTGGTTAGTTAAAAATACTGCTTTGGAATCCCTGAATATATTTTTTAATTGAAGTATAATTGACATGTTAGTTTTGGGTATACAACATAATGATTTGATGTGTATATACATTCTGATTTATATGCACAACAATAAGTCCAGTTACCATCTGTCACCATACATACTTAAGATTTTTTTTTCTTGTAATGAGAACTTTTAAGCTCTACCTGCTTTCTTAGAACATTCAAATAGGCAATACAATATTAACTATAGTCACCATGATGTACATTACATCCCATGATTTACTTGTTTTATAACTGGAAGTTTGCACCTTTTGATCCCTTTCCCCAATCTCTCCTTCCTCCACTCCTCCCTTCCCTCTGGCAATCACCAATCTTTTCTTTATACAATTCTCTGTCTTCCTTAATCCTAGTTTTCTGTAGGTACTAGAAGCTTAAACTCAAGGACTTACACATAATCAAGCCCTTATTATATATTTTATGGAGTGTGGAATTAATCTCTCTGCCTTATGCCTGATATTTGGTATGCCAGAGCTAGGTGGTTTATTAGCCTTAAAAGTACTAAAATAATTTGTATTTCCTATGACTAGGTGGTTTTTATTAATTACATGCAATGAGGCGCATGACTTATAATATATTCAGAGATTCCACAGGTAGACATTATTAGTCTCATGATGATATTTTGTACCTGCTTTGGTGCTGTGGTTCTGGCAATGAATTTTCCTTCATATCTATAGCTTCTGCTGAGTGGCCCGAGCTCCATGACTCCACCTATTAATTGCATGTAATCTTGTTATTTTACCCACTTTGTATTATCTTGGGAATCCGGGCTTGAGGAACTGTGTAAAAATGCTTATATTCTGGCTAATGTGGTTGCTGTGAGTAATAAATTTTAGTTTATGACCTAGGAAGTTCATTTCTTCTATCAGCCTTCATGAAACTGTGGCAGGCTAACAAGTTAGCTTACAAGCAGGGTACGTTCTTGACAGCTTGGTGACAAGATGGGTTATTGACAAACGTGGCTTTCTGAAAGATGAAGGACTGCTGGGACCTTGTGGTCTGCTCAGTTGCATTTAAAGTAAGCCCATGGGAACTGGTGGAAAGAGATGACCGAATAGTAAGATTGATCAGGTAGTAAACAGTCCTTTATTCTAGACTATTGGAGAGATGGTTATAAGTTAAGAGTTAGGAAGTAGGCTTAGAAACAGCTGCGTGAACAGTGCCCTGGTTGTTGCTAATTATCCTCCAGATAGAGAGACTTCCTTGCCAATCTGATGATCCCCCTCAATGTCTGTCCTATGTTAATAATTATTACTAAGATCAGTGCCTGAGTAAGCAGAAGATTCTGCTCTTTGACAACAGTTACGGTGGTGCCTACCTATACTGAGGATGAGAGGATGGAAATTTATAACTGTTATGGATAGAAACCAACTAAATCATTAGAACTTTGTCTGGTTGAAGATGCCGGCTGTGTGATACCTATAAA